GGAGCTTACAAAGACGTTTCTGTGTAAGTTTAGATTATTTGAAACAAAGTGAAAACTGGCTCCCATTGGAATCAATCACAACCTAAATTAATAAATATAATCAGAATCCGATTTATAATTCACACTTGACTTGGGTTAAAAATGTTTTTTTGTGTTTTTCCAAGTTTGAATTGTGTCCTCAAAGACAGCAGCCTCTCATTATAGCAATGTAGATATGTTATTTTATCATACTTCTAGAAAGCTCTTTCTTCTCATCCATCTCTGCAGAAAGCAGAAGGACTAGAAGAGTAAACAGTAGCTATGATGAGGGGTGTAAATAAATAATCCAACCTTTGCTTTGAATATCAAACTCAAACTGCTGTCGTCTCAATGCAGGTGTCAGTCCAATATGTGAGCCGTGTGTTTGCATATTTTGAACCAACTACAGGAAAAACATATTTCATGAGCACATAGAAAATAATGTCGTTATCCGGCAGATAGAGGGAAAGCAAAGCATAAACAAAATGTAATCAATTAGGGGTGAAGTGCATTCTGGGCTGATCGTATTAAGCTATTTCTTTTTGTGAACACTGCAGATGATAAATTCGAGGAGTGTGGACGAATCCATGCAGATGCTCAGATAAGGTTACATGGACTGGAATCTGATTTGTTTTGGCTCTCTGCTGTCAAAATCACGAAGGATCGACCAAAATCTGTTCAATAAACATGCTGAGCTCATGTTCTACTAAGAAGCCCCGGTTCACAAACATACCAACTTCAAAACAACGCCACAAACCAAATGTTCAACTGTAGCTTGAACCAAACAAAATAGAAACTGTGTAATTGCACAAGTTATGAAGCCACGTTGGTGAGAATAAAGTTCTGGTCCAGGTGCACCCTGGGAAACCTTGAACAAAGTGTTCGTGGCCATCAAGGTAGCTCCTTCCTCTGCTATTTTGAAACCCGGCAGCCAAACTGAGACAGAGGCCGGCTGGATTCCTCTGAGCGGGCGACTCCCTTCTAGTGAAACTGATGAAAGATTCATCTCACCAGGTTCTGCTTTATCTCGAGCTCCCTGCAAAGCTTCATTAAGTCTGCTATAAAAACCTCCACTTCCATTTGGTTCAGAGCTCAGAAGCTACCGGAGCTGGCCTCTGCTACGCATTTACATTTGTTCACTCACACATTTGCGTGAACGCTTTTATTACTGTACGTGCATTTTTACTGAGAGAGCCGTTTACAATCCGGCGGGGACCTCTGAAGCTATGATAGTGTCATTATAACAAACAACAGGTGAGCTCAGCGGGGGTTAAATGCCACAGCGTCCTGACAAACACATTTTGTAAATGACGAGTGGCAGCAGAGCGGGGGGGGGGTTAACGTGGGTGGAAACGAGCAGCGAGTGAGCTTTTGGTTCATGGAGAGGGATTAGACGCCTCTCACTAGAATCGGAGGTTGGATCCAATCCAGCCCTCTCGCCTTGGTGCTTTTCTCTCTCTCACCTCTCCTGGTTTCCTCCTCTCTCATCCCTCTGTGTTTGATCTTCCTCTGTCCTTTCTTCCTCCCTCCCGTCTCGTATATCCCTCCATCCTGTACTGCTTCTTTTATTCCTTGTGATTACAGCAGGGACAAGCTGATTTACATTATTATATTTCCAGATGTTGGGAGTTTTGCTCGTGCAGATATTTCTCCTAAGGCCTCTTCAGCTGAATTAAACCTGTTGATTTATTTCTTTGGTAATCAATCTGCTGTTCATTCGTTTATTCATTCTCGGTCAGACTGGAGCCGCCTTATCTTTCTTCTCTCACTCCGAGTAGGTTGACTCGACGTTTTGGGTTTGCAAAACTGTCTCTTATCAATTTGGTTAAAGCAAAACTAATTTGCATTGATGAACATGTTTCGTATAAGCGCCGGGATCACGCTTTAAATTGCTTCTGGGAGCCAGCCCTTAGGTGAATGTCGGGGGAAGTTAAGGTCTTGATTAAATATTGAAGATTAAAAGCTGACTGGAAGCATGAGAAGACCAAAAGCCCAGCCATCCTCTCCGCCCTGCTCTTCTTACCGTGGTATATGAACACCACACGAGCTCATGCATTAGAACAAAACATTACAGTTTTTGGGTCCTATTTTCTGACATTGTGACGATAAAGTAATCAGCACTTGCAATATGTATTTAATTCAGAGGAGACAGGGTTCAGTAATCATTTAAATCGTGGTAGAATACTTATTCCACTGGATATATATTCCCCAAAAGTGCTGACAGTAATGTGCTATTGATCCGTCTCTGTGTTTCAATTGTCCTCTTTTAGAGCCGATATCTTCTTCCTAAACGTCTGCCTTTCAGTGAGGTCGGCACAAATCTGAAGCAGCCCTTCTCATATGTTGACGTATATTACTGCAATGTTTGGGCCTGAATGACTGTGCAGTTGTCGAGATCTTGTTTACCATCGTTACAGTTTCTATTCCCTACAAGGTCAGGAGCGTCTTTGTAACGCAGACAAAAGGGCCATCGCGACAAGACAAAACGATAGCCGGGCTCGGCTCGCTGCTCTATTTTCCTCTCAAAGCTCGGATCGGTTTACAGCTCAGTGCTGAAACACACAACAGTGACGGACTGTTGGAGCGAAAATGCTGGCAGGAAAAAGTGCATGACAACCTTCAACCTGCTTACTGTAACAACTATCAAACTGCCCTTAAGCAAGGCACCTGAGCTGCACCTGCTCTAGTTCTGTAACAACCAGTCTGTGGTTGAACCGGACAGGCCAAGCGTGGAATCATACGAGTGTGAAGAAGACTGACTGAGAAACTAAACGCCCTCTCAGTCAAATAATCCTGCATTAATAAATGTTTAAATAAAAGGCAATTAGACGCGACTGCTTTAAAAAGATAAGCTCATCTCTTCTTAAACAGCCGTAATAACGAGGTGAAGTACAGTATGAGCCCGGAGCGCACCCCCCCCCATTAAAACAAATCTCATGCTTTGAATACCAGGCAGGGATCATCAGCCTGTTTGTGATGAATTAAAACAATCATTGTCAACACTTTATCTGCAGGATATGTTCTTCCTTCAGAGAGAGAAACACTGCATTGCAGGAGGAGGAAGAAGCCTTCGTGAGCCTGATTGCCTCTGAGAAGACTTGCTGTCTCTGTCATCATCGTGTGATGAGTCACAGCCGGCGCTGCTCCAGGTGTAGATGTGAAAGAGAACGGAGACGAGCGGTGTTTGATAGGAAATACATTTGTTTGGGTTGAATCTGTATGATTTCCATTGTTTAAGTGGGTTGAATATAAGTGAATTGTTGAAAAATGACTTGCAACAACAAAAGTGATGTAATTTCAGACACTTTCCTTAATGAACAACTATTATTCAGTGTCTCCATTACATCATTTTTTAAATAATAATTTAAGTATAAAAATCTGTGTTTCCCATGTATTAACGAGACGGCAGACCGCCATAGTTTAATTTGTCCCACCACAGTTTCAAAATGAACCGATAAAACAGCATCATGTGAACAGAACCACGTCAGTTGCAAGTTCTTTAAGTGTTTTTCCCATCTGGAAATTTGGATTAGCATTATTAATTTGCAGTATCCATTTTAAGTGTTTCCGTCTTCTTTGAAGTTGTCTTATCGGTTGGTGTTATAGAAAGAATGTCATTCGCAGCCACACATTTGTAACCGTTTATCATTATAATCAGGTAAAATATTGCATTTACTTTTACATCCAGAATCCCGTATTCTGAAAATAGAGTTTCACTGTTAGCTCCGCTGAGATCCACAGGAAACCAGAATGTCAACGACACCATCGGGATCCTAACGTGATGTCAGGCCAGAAATAAATAAAGTACGAGTTGTGTCAGAGTCGCCCCGGTCTAAACCCAGAGGGGAGAGATGGGGATGAAGGGGCACTGCACTGTCAGAGTTGGGCTCTGAATTTCCTGACACCATCTTGTCAAAGATGACAACTTGCAGCTTCAGCTTGACAGCAATAATTTCCCATATTAACTATATTCGGCACTTTCCTGCAGCTGACTGAGGAAAGTTTCCATAACAAGCTCGTCGAACTAAAATGGAAGGAGACTCTGTCAGTCTGTCCGTCCGTAAGACTTTCTGGACAACCAATCATTGGATCGACTTCACACTTGACGGCTGTATTGCTGAAGGAAGGAAGTGCAGAGTCGAGTGAGATCCACGAACATATTTATTAGTGCGTTATCTACTCACTGTGGGGCTGAAACTAACGTTATTTTCATTGTCGATTAATCTGACGATTACTTTCTTGATTAATCGATTAGTTGTTTGGTCTAAGAAATGTCAGTAAATGGGGGAAAATGTCCATCAATGTCTCACAAAGCCCAAGATGACGTCTTCAAATGTCTTTTCTTGACCACAACTCAAAGATATTCATTTTACTGTCACAGAGGAGTAAAGAACCCAGAAATTATTCACATTTAAAAAAATGGAATCAGAGAATGTTGGCTTTGTTTCTCCTTTAAAAAGTAAATTAATCAATTATCAAAATAGCACTGCCGAACGCCATGCTGGGGACAGCTCGCTACAGGACATCCTATAACAGATAAATAAAGACAGACCGGAGATCTAAGATCTTATTAGTAATATCCTCAACAAACGTTCATCCGATTGACTGAAGCTTGCCAAGTGTATTGCTCAAGGAAACCCAGTGTGGAGTGTGAGGTTGTGTGGGTGAACGGTCCTTGAGAAAGACTGAACGGGTACTTCACTACTAATATAAAAGATGAAAATGACCATGAATTAGGTTGTAAAATGAAGTCATAAGCTTTATGCACACCACAATAACTTCATCAGAAAACTACCCCTCAAGGTAGCCGTCATTTACTGAAGTCTTTTTCCTTTACAAGCTAATAACCCACAAGACTGGTTACATCTCTGACACACTGTGTGAGCAGATAAAAGATGCTAAATGCATACAATGCAGTTATGGCTGCATAAAAAAAACAGCAGTCTTTTCATGTAGCGTTTGTTTTCTCTGTGTCGTTACAGATCTGATTGTCAAACTGACAAAGGACAAGTTTGGAGCCATTCAGACGGAATACCAAAAGGTAACGTGTGCGTGTGTGTGTGTGAAAATGGTTGTTTTGCTTTACGTTTTTTATTTTATGTTATTGCAATATGTTTTTCTGATTGGTGATATATATTACAGAAGAGATGTACCTCTGAGACACTCCGTAGTCTATCACTTCTCAGGTGTGAAAGCTTTTACAAGCCGAGGCAAGGCCATCTCTTTCACTGGCACAACCTGTGAATTTAACGAGATCATCACTTTAACATCACTTTAGATTTCACAAGGAACAACCTTGATAACCAAAGATCTCTTTTTATTCTCACTCCCTGAGATCAAAAGGTTCGCTCTGCACCTTCCTCTCACTTATAGGAGAATTTTGTGTCTGTGTGCAGCGTTTCAATATGCAACTATGTGGATAAGCATGCCAGAATCCTTTGATTTCTCTTTTTATGTTGTTCTATTTCATCCACGTTTTTGTTTGGTGGCTTTGCTCTTTCTTTGATGCTGCGTTGCCTTTGTCTTCTGCATGCCCTCTCCATCTGATCTGATCTCCCTCAGCCAGAGAACATAGTGCTGACCCTTCAGGTAACGTCTGCACACTGGACTTCACAGTGAAACCCATCCCCCGTTGTATCATGCTCCACTGTCCCGAGTCACCAGGGCTGCACAATTCCAGCTAAAACTACTAACTTCATTTCACTTTAGTTGCCATATTACTAATTATTTTATTTATTTTTAACATCTTTATCATTTGAATACGTGTGATTAGTTGTGCAGCCCTATGACTCCCACCCAGCCATCCTATCCACCTTACAAACACCAGCTTTGCCAAAACTGTAGCTTCTGTCTCACTTAAGTCCTGATTTAGATCTCTTCAGCTTCCTGGAGGAGCAACATGCTGACTGGATCAAAAAGGAAGCGTGTTAGTGCTCTAGAATGAAATCTATGCGTTTTACACACCATTTGTAATATTCTTTCACACTAATGTCGTTGCTTCAACTCTACTAAGTTATGCGTATTGTTAAATAGCATCCTTTGTTTCCTACTAGCGACTTGTGGCCCTTAGAAATCCAGCACGTAACACAAACGCTTGATCTTTTGTGTGCTGATGTCAGCAGAATTCTTTTACTACTATACAGCGACGTGGATCCTCTGACACACAGCGTTGCCACAGCTTCATAGGGCTTCGTAAACGCGAGCTTCAAATACATCACTAGAAAGAAATAACCAAAACTAAACCATGAACATCACATTGCACCTTATAGGTAGTGAGAAGGAGATAACAAGTTTTCTGGTCTCTTTTGAAATGTGTGATGTACAATGACAACAGCTAAAAATACACTCAAACAACCAATGTTAATGTCAATCAGGACAGATCAATCACACTTCTACACTCATAGTTCAACATCTACAGTGTTGACTCTGTAGCCGATGGATTTTAGATGAATTAGATCCATGACTCTGGTTTATCAAAGACAGTAATTCCAAGACAAAGCTTTTCTTTTAAAGGGCAGAAAAGGATCAACTTTCATTATTTACGTTGCCCAAAATGGAAATGTTATCCAATGACATACATAGAAGAGCTAATTCCCTTGATTGCTTATGTAAAATAAACCAACAAACATATTAAATCAAGCAAAAGGGTTTATTGGTTTGTGTAATTCACATTCAATCTCCTCTATGTCTCCACCAAACAACGGAACATCAGACCCGTCCTGATTTAAAAGACCATTTCAACCCAGAGTAGATTGGATCATTTCCCTGATAGTAGAAGGTTAATCAGTTAATGTCCCGGTGTAATCTTGGTTTAAATAAAAGCCTCTATGCAGTGGATTGAAATAGTCCAGCTGTGATCAAAGGCTTGATGTTTGTTGCAGTCTTGACTTCTCCTCCCTACCTAATAAAAGACATCATGGAGAATAAAGCCTGATGTTCTCCCTTGTGGATCCAAAGTGGCATCCAATCCAATTCACTATCAAGCAGCAGGATCTGAGGCACAACAATGAATCCAAACAGGAAGCACTAAAAACACAAAGAACCATGACGTCAATTCATTCAGAATTCAAGACTCCAGACTACTAAACTTTAAGCACAACTCCACTGTTTTCACACAAAGAGAAATCAACCCGGTCTGACATCTTAAGGATCGTCACTTTAAAATCTTCAGCCCTCAGACACGATGCCACCTCATCATTCGGTGTGCTCTTATAGGAAGGTCACCTTCTTCTTTTGGGTATTTGCCAACACAAAGCTTTAGTCCAAAAATAGTCAGAGCTGAGGGCTGTTGAAGAGTGGTGGTGGAACAAAATTAAAACATTTTTGACCTTTTTTTTGTGAAGATTCACCCAATAACAAGCAGAGCCCAGAAGCACAATGACAATGCAAGCGTTCAGTTTGCAAAATGTCCCCAACAACTGGGCTGACATTGGTGCTCTTAGAAGGCAGACCACACACCCACACACACACACACACACACACACACACACACGCCCAGTGTCTCTCTTCTTTCTTTCTTTGCCTCTTAATATTGTCAAAACGTTGGATTCTTCTTTTCCTCCCTGTTTGTATTCTTTAAAGTTACTGTGAGGAACTTTTAATTGGTTATGAAACCGTCTCAAATTAATACCGACGTCTCTTTAGGACCTACATAAGTAAACCAGACAATGGGCGAGTAGATTGGTTATTTCTATATAGTTATTCTTAATAATTGTCATTGGGTCGGATTCAGCCCACTGTCAGACACTCCTGAAGTAAAATGAGAGGTTTCCTGAAGGGAATCTGGTGCTCGGAAACACTTGAACCACTTTGGTCCACAGGGACCACCGTAATCGACACAAAATGAAAGTTCCTTGCAGTAACTTTTAGGTCAGAAAGGGTCTGATTGGGGTCTCTTTCTTCCTACATCTCATAAACTATGTTTATAGCACATCCAGGAACCCCACTCAGCTAAACACACGCTTTCGGATGTTGGATTATGTCCACCGCCTGAGACTCTGCACAGAGATTTAGGGATGAACCAGAGAAGAATACTCCTCTCTGACGAGTTCAGAAGCCACTTCTTTTCACCCTGCATGTTAAAAAGCAGAAAAGCCGCAGGTCTCCAGAGAAGGCCGGGTCATGGACATGACTTATGGAGGCGATTAAGATTAGTGTGAATCAGCCGGGAGAGCAGTTCGTCCATTCAGGAGCGGTGATAGCAGCCCCGCTTTGATCCTTTCATAACGAGAAGCTATTGAACATCATTGTGACACCTTACATGTGGTGTGGGAATTGGCCAATCCCCTATTCAATTTTGCCAATTTCCAAAGCCTGTGCCGAGTGCGGTTCAGAACGGGGCAGATTAACGGGGAGCACTGTGGTACATGACAGGAGTACTGTACAACCTGCCAACAGCAGCAATTTCAACTCTCTCAATATATCTGGGCAAATTTGAAAGAAATTGAGTCACCTTGAATATTTCTAATATTCAATCAAAGTCGAGGATTATTGAGGCTTTGTGATGACGGATGTGCAGATTTCAGAGCTGACGATTGAGAAGCAAAGCAGAACAAACTGTAAATACAGAGTATTCATATAGAAGAATATGACAGTCAGCATTCCTATGCTCTCTCCTCCATCCTAATCTTACTGGTCCTCACCATAACGACCTCACTACACTCCTACTAACTGTCCAATAACTATTATTAACAGTCTAACTGTTCACTGCCGATACTGTACCTGCATTTCAAATTTTTGTACATTTAAAAAAACTTATATTTCTTGAAAAAAAGGAAAGAAGACTTCAGCTTGACAACTTTCCATTTTCTAGTTTGTCCCGTCAAGTTCAGGTTTTTTTTCTTTAGAGTCCCACAGGTAATGTACACTCAGTTGTCAGTTCATTAGCTACACTTCGCTAAAACTAATGTGATCTAATACGACAATCACACGATAGATTCTCCGCTGACTTCCAAACCGCATACTTTTTCTTACTTTTAGTACATACCACCACTGCCCTTACAAAGTACGTACTGATGCAAGCTCTAAGCATTGAATTGGGACGTACTACTTCATAACGTTGCATCTTAAACGTTGACCCTCTTGCTAATAGCGCAGAGGATTGTGGGTAAAAATGGCAAGAAAAGGATGTGCTCTTGCAACCTGCAAAATGCGACCGGATGCAGTAGACCATCCTTGTATTTTTCGGCATACAGAATTTGACATTCAATGTATTGGGACACACTAAATCTAAGTGAATTTGCCGCATGTCTTCCTCCACTTCCGCTCATTAAATGGTGCATAATCTGAGGCAAGGGGTTGTATTTAGTCTCTTAATTAATCATGGGTGTGTTTTGGGCGTAACATGAATTAAACCAATCAGGGTGTCATCGCCCATTAACTTTAAAAGCCAGGTGTGTGGAAATTGCTTTCGCTACATGAAGCACGCAGCATGTACATCAGTTGTAAATAGCAGGAAAATACTGCGTCATGTACTTCAGACCAGTTTCTTTAGTGCCGGACCACACCTTATTTTTAGACCAAGACGCCGATGGGCGCACAGATGAGCTGCACAGTGCACCGCTTTGCACTGGGTAAGATCGGGCCCACAATGCTTCATGTGTTGACTCTACTTTATAGTCATTTTGGAGGCTGTAGATTATGATTATAAGTATTTTTGTATCCAATCGTTGGTCTAGTCTTAAATGGGACTGATGAATTGTTCTAACCTCCATGAAGGTAGACTCTATGGCTGTTATATCAGACTGCATTAGTTTTATCTGGGTGTACCAAACAAACCCTCACTTTATAATGGGACAATGTAACTTTTAAATTAAGGCGTACAGCTGGAGTTGTAAGGTTTTTTGTCCAACATCTTATCACTAAAATCCTATCTTGCACCAAGTGACAGAAATCTGCCACAAGATAATTTCCCCGTGTCTCGTGATAACTGGTAATAAACTGGAACTGGTTGAGTCAAGCACCTTGTTTTTTGCGAAACTTAATGCAATAAAATAATTAAAAAGGGATGAACTGCACTCAAACAGGTGTAATTATCTCACCCAAGGGCAGATTTGTTTCTTTGTATCTGGATTTTAAGACTCAATTCCAGTTTGAAGTTCCTCAGAGCAGCAGTGCTGCCTTGTAGTTTATTCCTATTGAAGCAGGTTTTTCATCAGAAATGCTGTCTTTCTCCTTCATTAGAGTGGGAATAACTGCACCACAGGGCAACATGGATGGCTCTGACTCCTTTGAGTATTTTCCCATCATCCTTCACGTGTTGCTATCCTCTCAGTGCATATTGCGGTTTATTGGAAATTTATGTAAAAAGCAACGTTAAGCTTAAGCTACTGTAAGTCTCAACCCGCTCACAGTGGTACTGTATGTGAGAAAAGTGTTGTCGCCCTCAACGGTTTGAAGAAAGAGAGTCTTGGCATTTACGTGTAATAATGTAGTTAAGGAGCCGTGCATTGAATTGACTCGTAGTATTTAACAATTACAAAGAAAGGATTCTCCGGCAGTGAGTAGTGTTACGCAACGTGTGTCTATTGTTTAACCACAAATCCCTTTTGGACAAAGAGTAGAGAGAGAATTTCCAGCGGTGGGATCCGTCTTGATATTTTTAGATTTGTAGCTCATTTTTATCCTCTGCCTCCTTGTGTGTGTCCTCCCTTCTTCTCCTTTATGCCGTTATTAATCTATCCTTTCTTCTCTCCCTCACTCCCCAACTCATCTGCTCACCTCTCCTTATCCAATTCTGTTTTCGCTCTACAAACCCTCCATCCCATTTGCCCTTCTTGTTGTTTCATCTCCCTTCCTTTCCCTTCCCACCTCTGATGTTGTTTCCTGAATAAACTGTCCCTCGTTCTTCATCTCACCCCCGCCCGCTGACCACAGGCCATCTACTACGAGATAGGCTTCCTAGTATGTGCAGCGGTTGGCCTGCTGTTCGCCGTTCTGGTGCCGATAATGGGCATCTTCTTCTGCATGTGCCGCTGCTGTGACAACTGCGGCGGCGAGATGCACCAGCGCCAGAGGAAGAACGCAGATTGCCAGCGTGGTCTGCTGGGAACGCTGCTCTTCGCCACCTCACTGGTCATCACGTGAGTATGACGCATGCACACACACACACACACACACACACACACACACACACACACACACACACACACACACACACACACACACACACACACGAGACACACGTGGGGGTGTCAGCTTGCACGCATGTGTGTATTTCTGGTGCAAACAGTGTGTGCACAATCATGCATACTGGAACCAAATGCAAGCTACACCTCTGTCTTTTACAGTGTCGTGCTCATGCACACACATTCAGGCAAAAACACACTGGACACGCATGCACCTCTGGTCATCTTGTGAGTCTGTTTCACACACAAACACGCACGGCCATCAGCTTTCCCCACCCCCCCCATGCTGTTTACTATATATAGTAATTTCCTACCGTAGATACTTTGTGGCAGCACCCTTCATACTTATTCAGTCTAAGCACTGGTCATTATCTGCAGGGGGATTCACACACACAGAGCTTTCATTAACTGTGGTGGGAAGTCTTCATTCACGTCAACGCTCGGCTAAAGTACAAATAAATCAAATCTATAGGACTATGTATCATGTGTTTTAAATGGTCTCTACACCTTCCTGTTCTCCTTGGCTCTCTTATATAATACCTACTCTGCCTCCAGGCTTTATTATTAACTGCTCCAGCTGTCATTTCCACATTTAACATGCACATTTTAAGCACATGGCTGATGATTTTATCCCGTGGGAAACACAATGAATCTAGCACTACAAATGAATTCCTACATTCCTACTGTTTCAAACTGTAGTAACTGTGATAATTATTGTAATCTATGAATTCAATAGATAGTACCTCCTGCTATTTTCAGCACAGAAACTGAGATAATATACATTTTATTCATATTGCATACATGGAAACCCGCCAGCAGGAAGATCGTGACTTCAGATGCCATTTTTTTTTTTTTTTACTACAGTTGCTTAGGGTGCATTCCCCTAATGTTGCAGAGCCAACATCTTGGCAAATGAGAAATGGCAGTGAAGAGAAACAGCATGAAGTGAAATTGTTGATGTTGGAAAATTGAGGTAAATAGGTTGATTTCCTGGACTGGAAATGTTTCTACCTGGACCACTCCTTTTATCATCTGCTATCAAGTACAGACAGTGTTTGGTTCAACTTTACAGTGGATTTCTTTTACATGTAGACAGGCAGCTCAAGGTCAATTAAAAGCATTCAAGGACATTAGCTAAATGAAGTCATATGACTGAAGGAGAATGTCATGACTTTGCTGAACTTTCACATTCCTTATTGGAGTGTTGCCCAACTCTCCAGACTTCTCCAGAGCAAGTTCTATTTTAGTGAATTATTTTGGTCGTGACCAACCAAGACCCAAAGTTATGTGTACAGTACATTGAAAGCGACGGAGCCTGTTCAGAGCAGCCTAAAAATAACCAGTTTCTTATGCACCTGTATATTTCTGTCATAAATTATGGATATGCACCACTGCAGCTCAACAGGGAAACACAAAATGGTAATTAAATGCTAAAAAGACATCAGAACACACCACTTGATTCGTCTAAAGGAGTGGGTTAAAACATGTTTTGGGAGCAAAGCTTTAGGTTTAATTTGTGCTTCTTCTGCCTCTTACATCATGTGGCTCCTCCTGCATCTCATCTTTCAGAAAATGGACCAGAGGAAACTCAACCCTCTCTCCACTCTGTTTAGTCTCAGCGGTAGAAGAAGCAGGAGCCGCTGGGGATGCAGCCGCAGCACAAAAGGCTGGGGAGAGCTACGTTTGCCTCTCGTATTAGAACAGAAGGGATCCAGGAGTGTACATAGTTTGACATTCTTTGACTTTTTGTCTCCGTTGGAACGAAGCCCGGCTATTAGAAATTCCAAGGCAATATCCTAGAAGCCCAGACACGAGAGTCCGAGAGCATCCTCGGAGCTCTTATTAAATCTCCCCAGCTACCAGGCAGAGACGCTGCAGAGGCTCTAATGAAGCAATTACAGGCAGGAGAGTGATGAGCACCGAGCCCAGGCGGCTTTTTTTTACCACCACTAGAAAGCTAACAGCGAGGCAGAGAGGAGTGGAAAGGGGTGATGGGTATTTTCCAAGAAGTGTTGACATTGGATTGAGAGGGGTAAGAGACACCCAGCGAGGGGGGGGGGGGGGGGGGAGATAACATGTTTCAAGATAAGAGAGGAGGGGGAAGATGCCACAAACAAAATGAGTTTTATCACACCAGGACATTCTTTGACAGACGTTTAGGACAGACAGTACAGCGGTCAATAAACTACTATTGTCACTCTGCATGTAATCCATGAGTTACTTGTTTTACAAGTAACAATCACTCCCTCATGACATTACAATGCTTCCAATTGTTTCTCACCTTAATGCCCTTCACCCAATAAAACCCTTTTATCTAATTTCCCAAACACATGACCAGCACATAGTTTTATTCATAATATTTTCCATGGGGTTTATGTGACAGAATCAGAGCAGGAGACGAGATGAAAAACTAAAACTCTTGCGTCACCCCTTTACTCTGAAAGTGGCAGGGTCAAATCCCAGAGGAGCAGCCAAAAAGCTGTGGTTGTAAACATGAATGAATAATGTTCACTGGGTTAGAGCAGTGCTGGAAGGATTTGACTCGCACGGATGCAAGTCATGCCGAAAAATGCACACACTCCCGCTCAGATGCTCTGTGATGAAATCTACCAAAACACACAGCAGATGTGAAGCTCAGGACAGAGTTCATTCTGTATCTTATGTGCTAGAGGCAGAAATTTAGCTTTGTCAGAATAAATGGGATTTTGTAGATTCAATCAGTGCATTTACAAAAACACTATTGATTCAATCAGAACCAGATAAAGGCAGCACTCTGATTCCGCAGGTGAATGAATCTTGAAATCTAAATAAACAACCTGATTAACAAGCCGGCATTAATTGCAAATCCTCAAATTACCGCGCCATCTAATTACATTAGACTGATTTCTTTCAGAGCTATTAATCTTGGCACACGGCGCTGTGGTTGATTAAGAAAACAGAAGTGTTTCTATACACAGCCAGAAACATGTCAGCGTCACAGATTACATCCCGCTCTGCAAACAGCCATTTAGACACAAGTGTAATGTGAGATGAACTGGAATTGTTAGTTGTTAGTATTAGTGATGATGCAGCAATAATGAATGTCTGCAGCCTTGTCCCGGTTATGTTTGGTCTGATGAAGCCAGAATTACATAACTTGAATTACCCAATTTACTCAAAACATCGTTTGGGTTTATGCTTTGTTTGTTCTATTTGGTGCATATTAATGAAGATCTGCATCAATATGAATACATCTTGACTCCTATAAAGTATCTTGAGCATTGACAAGACCCTCTTATTCCAATCTTCTGTATTGCTTTCTTTCAGTTTTTCATTGAAGCTGTATGATGTTCTCACTACATGCAGAGAAATATCTGAAGTCAAGACCTCGTGTGTTTAAAGGCTGCGGTGCGCTTCATCAAATGGGAATATTCTTCATGTCTTTTGCATCATTTACTCACATTCATACATTAGTGCAGTGTCCATTTAAAACGCGCCTGTTCGGATCGGGCCGACTGCTTGGTCTCTCTCCGCTCATCCAAACCTAACACTGGACAATGCGCTTCATTGGGTCCTCAGCGATACACTTATAAACTTATAAATATGTCCCATAGATCTCCGTTCTCTCTTTCTTTATCTGTTCTGGAATGTAATGTAGCGAGCGACAGAGAGCGAGCTGTACCCAGCATGCCGTCCGGCGCTATCTTGGGGGAAACTTTGCCTCCACTATTTTAAAATAACCACAGATTTAAAATAAGTGTCTGTAGCTGTGAACGACGCTTGGCTGCACAGCGAGTTTATAATGACCGGTCTAAATACAGGACTTATAGGACTTCTTCTGTATCACAGGAATGGCAGATGATCCATTTACTTTCTGTACGATCAAATCTCAATATTTGCTCTCCGTTGATCCTCATGTGAATGTGATCACGGGTGCTGTGGTAGTTTAAATGAACATCTGTCCCGCCAGCCCATGTGTGTTTGTTACTAGCGTATAACGTCTTATCTCGTGCATTAATACATGAACTGTGCAGTAGAACGGCATGTTGCATCAGGCCCCCCAGCTATCTAAAGACCACACAGGACATTATTAAATCAACAGCAGTGGCTATTGCAGTCTTCACTAATCAGCTCCGAATCCACATGCGTGGATTCATTCAAAATGACAAATTGAAGATCCTTCCCTCTGTTCCCTCTGTGGTTACCCAGCATGCATTTCAGCAGTCTATTTAAGTCGCTGGGTGTCCAGAACTATTAAACACAAAAGGTCCCAACGTTATGAGGTTAGTAATTCATTCTAATCATTAATTAATTAATGATAATGTATGTGGCAGTGAACTGAGCACTCAGCACCCTGCACTTTAAATCTTAATCAGTCAGTTGAGGCTCTGAGGCGGCAATCACACCAGATCAGGCGTCGCAGCGAAAAACGGCATTAATTTGAATGTGGGTAGTATGTCGAGGCTGTGGGAAGTTGAAAACAAGGAAAACACCGCTAGAAGAGATGTTTCACAATCGACTCCATAAACAAACTCAGTATTCAAACATTAGTTTACATATAAAGCAAAAGAGAAGCAACATGATGTAAAACTCTCTGAAGGGGATGTGTAGTATATTCTGAATTAAAAAAGATTGTTTATAACATTGCTTTGAAGTGCTAGTGATTTAGACAATAGGACCTCAGGCTGTGTTCAGTGTCGTGTCAGAAAAATGTCTGATCCCATTTTAATGTCTACAGACGTCCGACTGTCTGCTCTGTTCTCTTCTGTCACGTGAACCTTTCTGATTTCGATGGCCCTTGCTTTTTGTAACCTGCCTGCTATTGCAGCTGCTCCTCTTTAGAGGTGACATGAGGTGGATAGTCATGTCAATACATAACCTTAAGAGCAAAACCAGAGAGTGAATTATGAAGAAACCTAAAGATTGATCACATGATAGAGCTCAAACATAACCTCTTAAGGAGCCAAGACCTTCAG